GAAAACAAGATGGTGGCCAGTTGGGCTAAATGAGCAGGCCCAACTATGTCACTCAAATTTCAACATCCAAGTAGGCTTATCATTTCATGTAATTATGATACATTGAATAAGATAAAATCCTAGAGTTGTATACTTGGGTCAAGTGAGTGACAATTCCTGAGTCTTCAAACTCAAGTCGCTATTTCTGTGACTCATGACTGGACCTATAACTGTCAGTTTTTGACTTATGACATGACTTGGACTCGCATATTATGACTTGCTACCCGTGCAAATCAGACAACTAATCAATGAAACCCATTAAAGTGTTAAATAAAACCTACCAACTTGCACCTTGTGGAGTTCTTAAAATAATCAGCGTAAGACTTCATTAAGCTAGCAACTTCTGCATGTACTTCGGTCTGTCTGCCAAAGGCCACATCTGAATCACTTGGCTGTGGCTTGAAATCATGCATCGCACAACATGATTTGTACTTTGACGAAAAGACTTGTGACTTGCTTGTGTTTGGACCAAATAGGTTTGTGACTTGACCTGACCTGTGATCAAATGACTTGTGACTTGACCAAATGACTTGTGACTTTTTTTTTGTTTTAATGGCGCTTTCAGCAACTCAGGCTATTTGTGCCAAAACTGTACATTTATTCATACACTTTATTAATCAGCATCATATTATGGAGTTAGGAAGAAGGTCCAGTTTTAGAGGCAGGAGGAAACCGGAGTGCCTGGAGAAAAGCTGCAAGAGCAAGTATTGACTGGAAACCAAATGCACTTAAAGCCTGGGCCAAGCCGCGACTCGAACCCGGACCTCATTGGTGCAAAGCGAGGAAAGAACCGCTACGCTAACCCGCTCCCCCCACTTGTGACTTGGCTTAGACGTGCAAAAATTGACTGGCTACCATTCATTTCCCAGAACATACAATTTTTGCCAATAGTAGTACCAAAGATAGTGTAGTGCTGTGTAGCAGTGCAAGGTGGAGAACTCTGCCAAAAAGGTGTTATCACCGTGGGCGCCATTCGAGTGTGCATGTTAACATTAATGCATACATGTAGGCGCTAGCGCAGGTATACCAGGTGTGCGTGCCCGTCACGGCGCTTGTGCCTGTGCATTAACATAGACTGTGCAGGCGTAATCCAGCCCAAATAGTGCCCATGAGATTATAATGTTAATGCATATTCACAGTAAAGTTCTCCATCTTGAGCCACTATACGATCTTTGGTAGTACCACATTTTCTTGAAGACAACATTGCTGTGGCTTCAAGTGCAAAAAGCATAACATATTCCCTGTTTTTGTCACAGCGATCATAGACTTTCCAGCTTCAGCTGAGAAATGGAGAAGGTTCAACTGGTAGACGATCCCATTGACTTCCCCAAGGAAGAGGAAAAGATCTTGGAATTGTGGAAGAAGCTAGATGCCTTCCAGACATCTCTGAAACAGTCCAAGGGAAAACCACGGTATCTTTTTTTCAAATTGCATTTTTAAATCGAAAAGAGAAAGATATCTGTTTTAATCAGAAAGATCGTGTTCATGGTTATAAATGGAAAAACAAAACTTGGGATGATAGATGGACTTTAGTTCATGAATGTGAACACGTAACATTGATCCCTTGAAATGGTCTTCAAATGTAGAGTTATGTAAAACAGAGATCAGTAGTGGGAAAAAAATCAAAAGGAAGCCCAGTTTAGGCAAATAAAATTCTTCAGTGACAACGTACATGTATGATACTGGACAGTGCATCCCTTTGGTCCCTTAAGTATATGTAACTTACCCCTCAGCAAAACAAATAAGTAAAGACCTGAACAGTCACAGCACAATGGTGCCCAAGGCCCCGTCTGTGATGACATTGATCTGCATCAAGAGCAGTTTTTGTAACAAGAAAATTGAAACTTCACTGACGTCTTTTTTCCGCACTTGCAGGTATGCTTTCTATGATGGACCACCGTTTGCCACCGGTCTGCCCCACTACGGGCACATCCTGGCCGGTACCATCAAGGACATAGTGACCAGGTACGCCCACCAGAGCGGCTTCCACGTGGACAGGAGGTTTGGTTGGGACTGCCATGGACTGCCAGTGGTGAGTGACCAGTGCCCTCTCCCCCATCCAGTGCCCTCTACTGCCTCCTTTACTCAGTTACGTCCAACCAGGGATACAGTTTATTTTGAGATTTACACAGGATTTATCCCGATTTTGGATTTTTGAACGATCTGTCTTTAAAATCGGGCAAATTCTGAGTTTATGATGAAGATGGTTTGGCTTAAAATTAGAACTTGATATACATGTAGAACACATAAGATGGGTTTCGGCAAACTTAGATGTACACCATAACCTTCCGCAGCTGTGGGCCCCTCAACACGGGTGGTGATCAATGCGTGGTTATTTCAGTCTCCTCCTATCCCACCCCAGTCACATCCATTTGAGGAAACCCACTTTGTCAGAACGCTTCCAGACTTCATGACGTGTTGATAGCTCATGAAGGTATCATGCCAACCCCTGTTTTCCTCTTCCAAAGTCACAGGCTTACCTGGGACTGAGCTCGGTGCGACAGAGAGCCATTATCTGAAGTTCCACCCAGAAATAATTAAACGCGAGAAGGAGATCACCACATCGTTGAAAACTCCCCTAACTTTATTTCTCTCTGACATTTTGACCGTAATCCATTGTTTACTGCCGTTTTAGTTGTGCCGATGAAAGGTCACACTTTAGTCTTCTTTGGTTTTACCTCTAAGGGGCATGTAACCCTCTAGCAAGTTGGCTGTACGTTCTACACTAGTGCAAAAAATCTTCCCCCCAAAATTCTGGATTTAAAGAACGTTGAATGTTGGGATTAGGAGGAACCTGAAATTCTTTTGAATTACGTTCATTCCGGAAAGGTTAGGGTTAATTCAGATAACTAGAATTAAGATTAGCCTTTGACCCAATTTTCTTGCATGTCAGTATCATACAGACTCAGAAAAGATTAACCCTTGCTCTTGTTGACACTCCAATGCACTCTACTATTCCACTGAGAAAAAGTGGCTATGGCCCTCCACAAGGCCACACCACTTCAATGGAGAAACTGCATACACTTCAAGGAATTACAGAAAACTGGAGGTCAAGTTGGTCCAGTACCCAGTGTACTACAGTGATAAGCAAAGACAAATGCCACAATCCTCTGGAGTACACTGGAGTTTACTTCTACTGATCGGCCAGTAAAATCACTCCACTGGTAATGCAAAGAGTCCTCCAATGCACGCCGGCTGAAGTGCATTTGCAGGTACTACTGACTTGCAGTAAGTTGCTCTCGTAGAGCAAGGGTTGATTAATATTAGCCATGTTTGATTTGACATTTTGTTCCTTATTCAAATTCCTGAAGATGTTCTGAATGAAGGACAAAATACTGAACTAAACATTTCTAATATTAATCTTTCTGGAGTTTGTGTAATATTCAGTTATCTGAATATTATCAGTGGACCTACTGGTTTCTAGCATGTGTTTTTGCATTTCCTACGCCTTGTTTGTAGATTGCTAAGGGCCATCGAGTTGCCACTAAATTTGTACACTAATGTCACTCTCGCCCACAGGAGTATGAGATCGACAAGACTCTCGGCATTAAGGGTCCAGAGGCTGTTGCCAAGATGGGCATCGAAGCCTACAACAACGAATGCCGCAAGATTGTGATGCGGTACTCCAGTGACTGGGAGGTGAGGATGGCATATTCGTCAGAATTTGCCGGCTGGAACCATGATGACATCAGTCATTTCAGCTGTTGGCTTTGAAAACTGTCAATTAATCTGTAAAAGGCCTGGAAAATGGAACAAGTCTGAGACCTTTGCAGGTTTTTAACATCAGTTGATTCAGTTTCCATTAACAACAAACGTATGTCACTCCATTGAACGTAAAAACAGAAATTCATAATATCCGGGGCAATTACTTGTGGTATAACACGCTGCCGTATAATTGACTGCAATGTTGTGATTGCCTGTAGCTTTGGCCTAAACTACCGGTAGATACGGCAAGGGTTAATGTGCTAGTGCTAAATACCCCCCCCCCTGTCTAATTGCTCATTTACTGTTTGTGTGACTCAGTATATCGTGACACGCTTGGGTCGATGGATCGACTTCAAGAACGACTACAAGACGCTGTACCCTTGGTTCATGGAATCCATCTGGTGGGTCTTCCGGCAGCTGTTTGACAGCGGTCTGGTCTACCGGGGATTCAAGGTAAAATCTCCTTCTCTCCCCCTACCTTCCTACCTTCTGACCCAAGAAACCTCCCCCAGGAAACAATTACCTTAAAGGTACCTTCCATCGTTGGCAGTTATCTGAAGAAACTGAAGAAGTTGTTGTTGGAAAGAATACTTTATTTGAAGATAGCTGCGGGACGAAACTCCCTGTTAAATTTTCTCTCTGGCAAGCTTTCATTGTAAAGAAAGCAATGAAAGAAGGCCACTCCCAATGATGCGTCTAAAGACACATATTTGGAAATAGCCTTTAGAAGCATATGCAAGTGTTAACAAAATACACACATACGTGTGGTTACTGTAACTTGTTCAGTGCGTGACATCATGTAGCCACATTTGACCTAATGTGAGAGCGTGTTCGAGATGCTACATTCAGGTGCAATTCAAAACATGGCTCAGCAACTTTTGATTTGAAATTGAAATCATAGAATATTGTTTTTCTCGGAATCTGCGGTATTCACCAAGCTGAAATTTCATCAGATTTGTTCTTGGGCACCTTTCTTCAGAGTTTGAGTAATTTTGTTGACGGACAACACCTGTATGGGGTTAAAGCCTAACCCATCTAGATCCTTCCAAATCCACCAGGAGGTTTGGAGGATTTCAAAGGATTAAGGATGCACAGTATAGTTGCTATTAGTACTTAAACTGGCCTTGATGCCCCTGTGATAGTTGAAGTACAGTGAACGAGGCACCAGTTTCCTGCTCGTTGAAGGATTGGAGAGAATTCACAAATGTTCCTGACAAGATCACTCAGAGATCTACTGTTAACGCTTGCTCTTTAGAACTCGTTCAATACATTACAGAATGTTTTTTCACTTGGACCATCAGTACTTGCCAACTGAACCTGTTGGTACAATAGATTACCATGTACTCTCAGAAATGCCAACATAACTACAGCCACCCCTCATTAAGTATCTGAACCCACTCCCTTTTGAGTTCTCGCCAATGAAGAGCAAATTGATTGCACTGGTTTGATGCACATGTATCTCTCCGTTTGACATCCTGATGAGAACGGAAATGATGCACTTGGAAATGCTGCGACAACTTGAAATTCATTTTGCTGGATAGTAGGGTTACATTGTTACCTTTGGTGTTCCTCGGACAGGTGATGCCATTCTCCACAGCTTGCAATACACCCCTCTCCAATTTTGAGTCTGGACAAAACTACAAAGATGTGGTGGACCCCGCAGGTAGGATATGAGTAGTTTCCGTAGCCCAAACATCATGAATGGAACATGGTCAGCCTTAACCTGGACTCAAAACCCGCTCAAATCAGAGGAAACCCATTAGCCCTTGTCTGATTTTGGTTCACATTCAGGACTGATGTTTATTAACATGAGGCTGACTTACCAAATCTGTTTTAGCAAAGATGTGTACGCTGTCAGATCACCACAGAGTTTCTTCCTTGAAAAAGGATTTTTGCAGTTGGGATGCCCCCAAAAAATGAAGTAAAATAAAGAAAAAAAATCCATATGTATGTACATTCAAATGATCAAGTAACTCATATGAGGGCCTCTGCAGTAACTTCCACTTTGGTGTGCACGGCCTTATTGCTTTATTATTGCATATCAAGTTGTCAAGTTTATCAGCAATTCAGAATAAAGAGCGTTGCAGTTGGTGATTTGCTTGATATGCCAAGAACTGTTGAAAACTTATTTCAGATGTCTGTGCAGCGTTGCTTGATACTTTCCTTTTTCATTCATTTGAGGGTTAATAAAAGAAATTAATCTCGATGGGATTCTAACTTGTAACATCTGATATGCAGTCTCAATGCATGATTCAGAATTAATGTTGTCTGTTTTGGATTTATCCATTTAAAAAACCCAGTGATTGTCAGCTTCCCCTTGGACGAAGACCCAAACGTCAGCGTTATTGCCTGGACAACTACCCCATGGACGCTGCCCAGCAACCTGGCACTTTGCGTCCACGCCGACATGGATTATGTCAAGATCGTTCACAAAAAGGACAGCAAGGTGAAAACAAGAAAAAAAGAAGTCTGTGCTTCGTTGAAAATAATTTTAATCTCTTCTAGGATTTGGACAAGAATATAAGTTTGCAAAGAAAAAAACTGAATGGACTTGATCACTCCACAAACCC